AGGCAGAACTTGGTCCAGCAAGCCTGTTCCAGGTGAGGGAGTCTGGGGAGCTGGCTCAGGGCCCAAGACTGTGGGGCAAGAGCTGAGCACTGGGACACCCTGCCCTGGGCCACCCCAGCCCTGGCTGTGCTCTCAGGGCCAAGTAGCACCTGGTCTTCCTGAGTTTTCTAGGTGGACCCCATGATTCAGTGTTGGGTTGTGATAAAGAATAATAGTCACTCCCATTTCCCATGCACTTCCTGTGTGCCAGGCACTAGGAGGTACGTTGCATTAGCTGATCGATTCTGTGAGGGACTATATTGTTATTAGCCCCGTTTACAATTGCAACTCAGGTTCAGAGAGGCTATGTAACATACCCAAGGAAGCACAGCGGGCAGTGGTAGGGCCAGGATTTGAGCCCTGGCAGAGTGAAGTGTGCTCTTGACTGTGGTGCACTCTGAGGGGCCTCAAGGTTGGGAGTGGGGTGCACTGGAGGGGATGGGTGAGAAGTTGCCATCACACTGATGGCCACTCTGGGGTCAGGCTCACCAAGCCCACATGGCCCTGTAGGTTTGTGGAAGGTTCCACAGGTGCCCAGCAAAGCAGTGGAGGAAAGCTCAGTCAGTGCTTGGGAGCTCTAGACAGGGACACACCAGCAGCCCTGGGTACCCTGTGTGTCTCCTCCCATGCAGGTGACTGGCACGGCTGCCACCCTCCCAGGCACCAGGACTGTGCCTGCCTCCCCTGTGTCCCTGTAGATGCAGGATTTCTCCCCGCTTTCCTGATGTGTGACATTATGCTTAGGAGTACAGGCACCGTGTCAGACAGACCTGGATTCAGGTCCCACTTCTATTTACTGTGAAGTCTTGGGTGAGCACTTTCTTCCCTGAGCCTCAAATTTGTTATCATAAAAATGTGGATAAACCCCAGTATCTATCCCTAGAATCATTGGAGGATTGACGAGCGTTAATGAGCATGATGCCCGGCACTTGAGGGTCCAGTAAATAATCGCTATTGTTACGAAACAAACTCAAACCCAAGATCGTACCAAAGCGTGGACATACGTGAGGGTGTATGTTCTCGTGCCAAAATCACCAGACTTGTGTGGAGGGCTGAGAGCTGCTCCAGGCCAGGGCAAGAATGCTGGGAAGGACGGCTTTGTCACTTTGACCCCCGTGTGGCTCACTTGGGTGTCGTGCGCTCTCTGTCCATGGTTGTGGCTGGGCAGAGTCCAAGCATCCACTTCGGGGGTGCAGTAGAGGGGATTCCGGTGGAGGGTCCGGTGAGAGGACCTGGGAGATTCTCTCTCCCAGCCCCCAACGCAATCGCCTTCCTTCCAGGGCCATGGGATCCCCACAGATTCCATGTCTGTGCCCTGCCCAGGGCCTGGCTCCCAGCAGGCACCCCACTAGTATTGTTGAATGAATAAATGGGCTATCTTGGTCTCCTCCCAGGTGCCTGACACATAGTAGGTGCTCAGGAAATGTTCTGAGAGTATATGAATTTGCTGTCTTTCTGGCAGCATGGCTGAAATGGATGAGCGGTTCCAGCAGATTCTGTCGTGGCAGCAGATGGATCAGACCAGAGCCATCAGCCAGATCCTGCAGGAGGTGAGCCCTGGCCCAACGCAGAGCAGGGGTCGGGAGGGGTGCACAGGAGCCAGGGCAGAGCCTCAGAGCTCCACACAGAGCCCTGTCCCAGGCAGTGTTCAGACCCAAGGGGCTTAGCGACCTTAGAAATATATAAATCATTGGGCTGAGGGGCAGGGAGAGGCCTCCAGGGGACCCGAGGGTGGGCAGTGGTCACTGAAATCTAGAGAAGCACCCCTCCTGCTCCCTGGGGGACTCCCCCCCAATCCTGTGCAGGGGACGCCATCAGGAGACTTAAGGGGCAGGAAGTGATGGTGTTACACCGTGGAGGTCAAGACATGGAGATCACTGGGGGACCTCTGACCTCTTCTCATGTCGGCCCACCGCGCCGCTTTGTGCTTTTCCGCCTGCACTGGTGCTTAGCAGGTGTGGGGTAGAGCCCTCAAGCAGATGAAATGAAGGACCCCACGACCTCCTCCCCTCCTGGCTCCATGCTGTTCTGTTCAGCCTCATCCCTGCAGCCCTTGGAAGTGTCCCTCGCCCCTCCCTTTTCCCTCAAACGTGTCATCCTGCCTTGCCCAGCCCAGCCTCCGCTTTCTCCCCAACTCTAGTCTGTTCTAAAATGGTTTGACTTAGCATTTGTGGGGCTTGTCTGAGGAAGATTCTCTGTTTCTCAGAGAGGGCGAGGCTCGGGGGCTGGACGGACTTGGCGCGTGTCCCAGCACCAGCTGGCTCACATCTCCATGCCTCGCTTTCCTGCTCTGGGAAACGGGGCAGTGACAGCAGCCAGGCCATTGCCGCGGTGCAAATGCAGCCAGCAGTGCAGGTCAAGTACCTGGCAGTGGCCTGCCCAGAGTGAGCCCTGATATCATTTTAAGATTTAAATAAGTGAGGTGAAAAGCAATTTCTCTCTGTCTCTCAGAAACAGAAAGCTATAAGTTAAGGTGTTCTGTGTGCTACTTTCGGTTCTCCTGGGCGGGCGGCGGGGAAAGGCCGGTGCGGGCCGTGCTGAGCGGGCTGAGGTCTGTTGCAGAGCGCCATGCAGAAGGCTGCGTTCGAGGCCCTCCAGGTGAAGAGAGACCTGATGCATCGGCAGATCAGGAATCAAGTGAGTGCTAGGGTTGTGGCCCCCAGACCCGCCCTCCCCGCTCCCGGAGACTTGCAGAGTGGCTCAGTGGGGCTGCAGATGACAGCAGTTGAGGTTTGAACCCCAGCCCCTTGGCCTGCCAGCTTGGCAAGGGGTCTTCACTCACAGACCTGCCTCAGGGGCTCAAGGGAGGGCGCTTACCGGCCTGGCCAGACCCATGCCAGCAGACGCAGCCTGCTCGCGCTGCCTCCACGAGGCCCGGGCCGGGGAGGGCAGTGCTAATGTGTGGCCTTGACTGCAGGGCAGCCTGTGTGCTCACTGTGCCTCAGGCAGGACTCCCTCGTGGGACACGGCAGCCTGCGTAGATCCCCCTGCCCCCCTCAGCTCAGACTGACGCAGCGTCTCCGGGACGGGCTGGATCTCCCACAAGGGGCAGGGAGGGCCATGGGCCTCTGTGGTCCCGGACTGGCTGACGAGTGGCCCTGGCCCAGGAGGAGGGTCAAGCTCCTCTGCTGACCTGCGGGGTGGCCACTGCCTGCCGAGAGGCCCAGGGCCTTGGGGATGAAGGGAGCTTCAGGCCATGGGAACGCGCCTCTCATACTCAGCACACTTTGAATTTCACGTATCGCGTGGTTTTTTTCTTTCTATTCTTTTTTTTCTTTTTTTTCTTTTTTTTCCTTTTTTTTTTTTTTTGACCAAAACCAACTTACCTTTTTTATTTCCCTCTTTGATTTCAATCCCCCATTGCCGGACATGAAGCTCATTCCTCTGACCAGGGGTTGGTGAGGTCATAGGCACTTAGGGACAAGGGTCATAGGATCACGGGCACAGGGTAGAGGTCACCGGCTGTGGGTTCTGACCCCCAGACATTCTCACTGTGGGTTGTTGTGACCCACCAGGCCAGCTGTTCCCCTTCAGACCCTGAGCAGGGACATCCAGAGAAAGGACTCTCTCGCCAACCTGCTCTGTGTCCTTGGGCAAGTTACTTGACCTTGCTGAGCCTCAGTTTTCTTGCCTGTAAAATGGAGGCAATAATACTTCGTAACAGCCAGAAGGAGCACTGATGAAATGATGTGTACAAAATGCACAGGCCTAGCGCATGATAGGTGCTCGGTACTTAGCAGCTCCTGCTGTCGTTATCATTCAGTCACTTCCCTCGGCCCCAGCTCTCCCCTGGAGCAGCTACAGAGAGAAGCAAGAGAATTTGACCAGTAAGTGGCTCAGCGATGATTCTGTGTCTGTTATTTGCTCTGGCCTGGATCTTAAAGGAAAGCCCCTTCCCCGTTCCACACGCCTTTCTTCGGCACCCACTCTGAAACAGACCCTCTAGGTCAGCGACATTGGCCAAGGCAAGCATGTCCCCGCCCCAGGGCATACAGAGCCAAAAAATAACTGGTTCTTTTTAACCCCCTTGATGAAGTTCCTGAGGCCTACAAGTTCCCCTCATTCCAGAGCCTCCCCAGCCTCCCCCAGAAAGGTTTGTTAGACCCCATTTGGCCGTCTGAGAGTAGCAGCCCAAGACTGAACCATGATTAATGTGAATAAAAAATCCCCTGTCTCGTCTTCTGTTTAGATTAAGTTAATAGAAACTGAGTTATTGCAGCTGACACAGCTGGAGTTAAAGAGGAAATCCCTGGACACAGAGACACTACAGGTATGTAGGGCTCCCAGGCCTGTCCGCCCTTCCCCCACCCCCGCGGTGAGCTCCCCTCCTGGTGCGCCCCCCAGCTCCTTGGCAGCTGCCTGTCAGCCCCAGGGCGCGGGGAGCTTCTCCAGCAGATGAAGGGCAGGTCTCCTCTGCGGCTGGGACACTGAAAAAGTTCCCCAGCCCCAGAAGGCCAAGCGCAGGCCGGGGTTAGAGGTCGGGTAGCCTGTTGCTAGGCAGGAGGGTCAGAGGAAGGAGGGTTTCATTGCCAAGGCTCACCCCTCCATCTCCATCTCTGCATTGCCTTTGCTGGGAGTGGGCTCACGGCTGAGCTCCCTGTCTCTTCAAGCCAAGCTTCAGAGCCGCTGGCTCCCTGGGCTGCCATCCTCTGGGAAGGGAGCTTTTTGGTGTCCCCAGCATGTCTGGAGGTGATGGCCCAGCTGTTTTTGTGTCACTCCCCATGAGCTCCAGCCTGGGCGTCCTGCTCACAGAGACAAGAGGGCAGCAGGCCCTGGCAGACAGTATGCTAGACTAGCCGTCTGGGACCTTGCTGTGCGACCTTGGGTGGGGGAGGAGGGCAGCCCTTCCCCTTCTCTGGACTTCAGTCTGCCCAGGTGCACACGAAGGGCTGGATGGGATGGTGAGTGAGGACATGTGCCCATGGCAGGCATTTGAGCAGAGCCTTCCATCTGTCACTGTCCCTGTGTCTGTTCTCAGTGGAGAAGTCTCCAGTCATTTCCAGGCTTCTCAGTGCAGTGAGAGTGCTGGAGTGAGGTCTGGAGCCCTGGTCTCAGGTCAGCCACAGGTGTGCTGTGTGCCCTCAGGCGGCTCACTGCCCCTCCAGGCCTCCCTTCTCCCCTCCGTGAGATGGAAGTCATCATCCAGGCCCAGACTGTGTCCATCCAGGGCCATCAGAGGAGGGTAAACTAGCACAGGGAAAATCATTTGTGAGCCTTGAAATGATCTTCAGAGATGAGAGGCTTGGGGCTGCTCGCAGACAAGCTGCAGCCACCACGTTTGGCGAGTGCCCTTGTCTCTGCCCGTTGGCGCTGTCTGGGCCTCCGAGGAGTAAGTGCAGGCGTGGAACAGGGACACGTGCAGGCTCTGGTTTGCATGCACCTGCATTAGTATAGAGCCTTCCTCATTTGTGTGGGGTCCCACACCTACCCTCCCTGCCATTTGCTTCTGTCCATATGCTCTGTAGTCCGTGAGACCAAAGGCAAGACCCGTGGCTTGTCATTTCTTTTGTTTGATGTTTTTTACCATTCCATTGTCATCGGTCACTGGGATCCCATGCCTGACCTTAACCTACAAGGAAGGGAGATGCAGGCTTGGAGAGGGGGAACAGAGGGGCCTCTTAGCTCAACTCCGCCTAGAGGTGTTGGGCGGAGCCTCAAATTGAGCTGAGGACTGAGTGAGTGGGAGATCCTAGGCCGAGCCCTTCTCGATCCTGCACCCACAGCAGGGACTCCTGGGGTGCTGTGAGCTCACAGTGGCGCCGGGTATGGTCTTGTGTTGCAGGAGATGATCTCAGAGCAGCGCTGGGCTCTCAGCTCCCTGCTCCAGCAGCTGCTCAAAGAGAAGCAGCAGCGAGAGGAAGAGCTCCGGGAAATCCTGGTACGTGTTTGGCTTCCGTGTTTAGCATCACACGTGGGTTTGCTTTTCCTAAACACACTTGCCATTTTTAGAAACAATTTCGTTATTCACATAAGAGTTGTTCTTCAAAGAAAAAATGGAAAGTACAAAGGAAAAGAATTTCACTTCTGAGAATTATCTACTACTAACATTTTGATGCAAATTTTCCAAACATTGTGAAGCATATTATAGCTATTCACATACATGCCTTTAAAACATAAAGTGGCACGTACCCTTTGCAGCCGGCCTGTTTTCATCTATTCTTGTCAAGTCATTAAAACATTCCTCTGCGTTCCTTCTGGCCACATTCGGATGGGCCGTCCTTCAGCCAGGCCCCTATCGTCGAGTGTGTGGATGACTCGAGTGTCTTTGTAGCCGAGTGAGAACAGCCATGAGTGTTTACTCCAGGACTTGCTGTGTCTGGCCAGGCTGTTTGGTAAGCTTTGGCAGGAGTGGCTGTTCCCTGCACCTGGATGGGTTTGACTCTGCACATTATCAGGGCGACAGAGCCCCATGTAAGAGCATCTCCTCTAGACCCAGGGGGCACCTGAGCAATGAGGACAGAGGCCAGGCCCACTGGCTGGGGCTGAAAAGACCAAGTCATTCCCATGTCGTCGTAAATGTACCAAACGTCCTCTGAGCTCCAGTCAAGGCGGGGCCCTGTGCAGGTTTAGGAGGAGAGCGAGAGCAGTTCCATCTAGAGCCCACACGAGCCCACCTGGCGTGCTTGTGCCGGTTAGAAGTTGCCTATTCCTCGGGATGCCCTACTGCCAACTTCTACGTGTTGTACTAATGTGCAGACCGTGCCCTGGCATCGTGTGGCCGCAGCCATATACTGTCGCCTCGTGCTCCTGCCCTCACTAGGCTTCAGGGGACTCGCCAGGTCAGGGAGGAAGCACTGCCTCAGCAGAGCACAGCCTGTCGGGGGCCTCGGCCCTGGAAGGGAGATGTGTCCGCTGTCAGGGGAAGGCCAAGGACGGAAGAGGGCAGCCTGCTCAGCAAGGTCCAGGAGGGACCCCCAGCCCTCGGCGTGCAGCTACAGTTGTTCAGAGCACGACAGACCTGGCTCTGAATCCTGGCCCTGACCCTGGTTTACTAATCACTGTGAACCTCAATTTCCTCACCTGTAAGGTAGAATCTACTCCACGGAGCTGTAAGAATTAAGTTCACGGCACAGGCCGGCACATGGTGCTCTGAAAACATTAGCTACTGCTGTTACTACTGTTGTCATCATTAGCGTCGTCAGTTCACTACTATATCCCTTAGCGCCTAGAATGGAGCACTACCCAGTGAATAGTTACTGAATGGTGGGGTGAAGGGATTGTTTTCAACAGCATGTTTATAATTCTTCTGCTTTGTCAGATAGTAAAGCCCACTCTAGAAGTCGAAGGTGCCCTTAGCATCCTGTACCCCCCTGCCTGACACGCAGAAGGCAGCCGAGCTTCGTGGGAGGAGGCAGCGGCAAAATGCTTGCTGTCACACAGCAGACAGGTGTCCCTCCTAGAAGTAGTGGCAGAGTGTGGTGCCAGGTGGCAGAAGCTCAGGTTCAGATGCCATCCTTGACCAGATGTGTGATGACGGGCAGGTCAGCTGCCTTCTCTGAGATCATTTTCAATGGTCAGTGGAGGAGAGTGACACGTCCTGCCTTTCTCATTTCAGCAGTGTAAGCAGTGACACACTATGCAGGTGGGAGAGTTCTTTGTAACATACCTAGTGCCGTCCACCTGCTCAGAGGAGCACAGCTGACAAGTGCCCTTGTCATTTTGGTTTTTATTTACCGATTTATAACTAACATTGCTTCCTTCGTTCTTGGCAGACGGAGTTAGAAGCCAAAAGTGAAACCAAGCAGGAAAATTACTGGCTGATTCAGTATCAGCGGCTGTTGAACCAGAAGCCCTTGTCCTTGAAGCTGCAAGTAAGGACCGCTGGTGCCTGCCCTGGCCACAGAGCACGCGGGGCCTCCTTCCAGATGAGCCTGTGGCGCCCACGCTGTGCCCTGCCACTCCGTCTCCAGTTTAATTCAGTTCATCTTTCTGGTGACTCGAGCGTGCCAGGTCCTATGCCAGGCCCTCACAGTGACAGAAATAAGAGCGAGGCAGTGTTCATTCTGGTGAGGGGAAGACAAGGCGCTGGTCGCTGCTGTGCAGGGCAGAGACCGGGGTGCCCACGGTGGGGCAAAGCCCACGCACAGGTGGGCAGGGGCAGCTGTCTGTGAGGACAGGATAGATGTGGTTCCCCTCCAGATGCACTTACACTTTTAAAATTTTTAATAAAAATTGAGTCATTCTACACATACCATTTTAGCAACTTGCTTTTTTCTTTTAGCCGTAGTGGTAGACGGTTCTCCAGGTACATACAGATCTCCCTCATTATTTCCAGGCAACTGCATAGCATTCAACATGCGGATGAACCTAGCTTATTTAACAGTCCCCTCTTGGTGGATACTTAAGATGCTTGCTTTTTTTTTTTTTTTTTTTAAGACAGAGTCTTGCTCTGTCGCCCAGGCTAGAAGCAGTGGCACCATCATAGCTCACTGTTACCTCGAATTTCTGGGCTCAAGCCATCCTCCTGCCTCAGCCTCCCGAGTAGCTGGGACTACAGGCATGTCACCATGCCTGGCTAATTTAAAAATTTTTTTCATAGAAATGGGGTCTCACTATGTTGCCCAGGCTGTAAGCTTACTGTTTTCAAGTTTACAGATAGAATAGCAGTGGACTTTCTGTGCACATATATCTCAGTGTGTTTACACGTGCATTTTTATAGGAAAAATCCCAAGAGTACATTCTATGCATCATGTTATATATATTCAAACCCTTCATTTCCTATTGTAAACAGTAGGTTCTTCCTTCCTGTTTGTGAGGCACATGGTCTTTCCCGTTGGTCTGTCTTGCAGGAAGAAGGCCTGGAGCACCAGCTGGTAGCCCTTCTGGAGGAGCTGTCGGCCGAGCACTACCTGCCCATCTTCGCCCACCACCGCATCTCGCTGGACACGCTGAGCCAGATGAGCCCTGGGGACCTGGCCAAGGTGGGAAGCGGCAGTCCTGTGGCGGGTGGGCCCTGCCTGGGCATGGGTGACTTACTCTTCCTGCAGTTCTTGATGAGGTCTGCCATCAGCAAATGCTCCACGGTCCCCTTGCTTCTGGATGGCCAGAACACCCACCTGTGTGCCCCCACCACTTGTGTGTGCCCTGCATCCTGTCTCACTAGAAAAACCTGGGGGGGGTCCTGCTCACCCCACACGGCCCCTCCTGCTCAGATCGGATCTGCAGGTTGCAGGGGCAGGTTGCCCTGGGGATCATCTGGTCCAGCCCCCACCCTGCTCATAGTGTCACGGCCGCATGCAGCACTGCCTAAGCCCCAGGTACTTTCTGGGCATGAGCTGAGCTATTTACATCACATTAATGTGTTTACTCTTCAAAACAGAGTAATGATGATGCTGGCCAATGCCTTCGTGGCACCTTCTAAGCACTTCTCACAGACTAACCTGTGGGGTCCCCCAACAGCCCAGGGAGGTGGGTGTCATCATGATCACCATTTTTCAGATGAGGAAACTGAGACCCAGCAAGGTAATAACTCACCTGAGGCCGCACAGCAGAGCGAGGACTTGACGCCAGGCAGTGTGGCCCCAGAGTCCGTGCTCTCTGCCACTCAGCTGTCCTGCCTCCCCCTGGACAGATGCAGAAGGGCTCGATGGCACTGCAGGGTCCCGGGCTTGGGCTGTGGGGGCCAAGGGACTGTGGGACTCAGGCGCTGCTGCTTCCCTCCTCCCTGCCTGGTGGGGAAGTAACAAGAGGTCTGCAGGTGACACTATCAGTGCGGTGCCTGGCACCCGGGAGCACTCACTAAACTGAAGCTGTTACTAGTGTTGGTTTCCTTTTTGGCCTCAGTTTCCCTCCTGCCACACTGACTGTTGGGCCAGGCTAGAGGGGTCACCGTCGCGGCTATGGTGCTGCACTGCCTCGTGCCGAGCCTGGGGAGGCCTCCACCCTTCCACTGAAGGTGCCAGGAGCCAGGAGGTCCTGTGGGCCTGTGCATCGTGGCTTTGTGCCACGTGTCAGCCTTCGCCAGCCCATCCCACAAACTGTTCTTCCTTGGACTGCCACAGGTGGGTGTCTCGGAAGCTGGCCTGCAGCATGAGATCCTGCGGAGAGTCCAGGAACTGCTAGAAGCGGCCAGGATGCAGCCAGGTACCAGCACAAGTCCGGGGCCTCTGCTCGTCAAGGGCGCCATCCATATGTGTGGGCCGTGGCGGGGGCGGTCGCGTGCTTACATTTCAGGACAGGCTGGTTCTAGCCCCTGTGAGTCGGTAAGGTTCCCTCCTAAGGACCAGGCTTAGGGATCAGTGAGCCCATTTTTTAAATGGAAAAACAAAAACGGGAAAATGGGAAGTTTCCATGTAGCAGCGGAGGGGCCCTCCTGGCTCCCTGTCCCATAACCTTCCCTAACCACCCCCCAGGCACTGGGATCTGCACACCCAGCAACCCTGGACTAGAAGGAGAAACCGGCCCATCCACAGGGCCCATGGCATGCCCAGTGCCGTGCCCGGGGCAGGCCTGGGGTTTGGACATGGGGAGATGTGGGTGACAGGTCGTGAAGGGGCAAACACAGGTCTTGGAGGCCCTCAGAAGGGGCAGGTGTGGCGTCAGGGGTCTTCTGTGTTCTGAGCACCATCCAGGAGCCGGGCATGTGCCACCCACTTTACATGTGCCATGTCATGAAAACTTTGTTTCAATCCCGTGAAGTGGGCACTGTTTTTATCTCATTTGTGAGATGAGGAAACAGGCAGAGAGAGGTTAACATGTCTCCCACAAGGTCACAGTGCCAGCAAATGGTGGAACCACTGGGCTTTACTGCCTTCCTGGAGAAGAGGTGAGAGACCCAGAACAAGGATGAAGGAGGGGCGGGCTGGGCGAGCCCACAGCTTGGCCAGAGCCACGGCCAGGACGGGGGCAGAGGCGAAGGGGGAGTTGCTGGACCAGAGCTCAGGGGCGAGGTCCCTTCTGAAGGTTTCCTCAGCACTGACCCCTCCAGCTTTCAGACTGGAGGTCAGGAAGAGTTTGGCATCAGGAGCT